CGTGGAGGGAGTTGGCTAGGAAGACTTCCTGGGGGAGGAGACATTTACTCAGTCATGAAACTTGAGTAGGAGTTGCGGAGTGCCAGGCAAGGGACAGTGTAAGTCCCTTGGACTCATAAGTGGTGCATTGTTCAGCACGCTGCCTAGTTATACTGCTTAACACGTGCTCCGCTCTGTCCCAGCCTGTTTTTTTTTTTTCTTTTTCATCTCTGAAAAAAAAAAGGAAAAGAAATGTGTGGCATGTTCTGGGTGGAGGATGCAGAGCCTGCTTGGTGAGACTAGGGGCCCTGAATATAGGGACTCTGACTCCAGGGAGGAGAAAGGGGAGAGTGTAGATGCTCTGCCAGAGACCACGTGTGAGGACAGAGAGGGACACTTGAACCCTGCCCTCACTTTGCTTCTTTTTCCTCCTTTAGTGTAATTACCCTCAAAGGCGGAGAACATGCATGGCTCTCCCAATCCAGCTTGATTCTGAAACCCAGATCCCCACCCAGCCCACTCCCCCTGCCCCAGGGCCGCACAGCCTGTGGATTGTCTGTAGGACTTCCAAGAGGCAGAGGTTGCCTAGAGAGGCACAGTGGTCCCCTCAGTCATTCAGGGAGGAGAGCAGGATGGACAGAAGTTATCTTGGGCTGGGGTCTTAAGCCCTCAACTGGAGAGGATTTGAGATGATTAATTTTGTGTGTCAACTTGACTGGGCCACAGAATGTCCAGGTATCTGGTTAAACGTTATTAAATATTTCTGGGTGTGTCTGTGAGGGAAGAGACTAGCATTGGAATGATGGACTGAGTAAAGCAGACGCCCTCCTCGGTGTGGGTGGGCACCATCCAGCCCGCTGAGAGCCTGAATAAAACAAAAGGCAGAGGAAGGATAAGTGGGCTCTCTGCTTGACCGTTTGAGCTGGGACATTGGCCTTCTCCTGCCCTGAGCGCTCCTGATTCTCAGGCCTTCAGACTCCAACTGGAATCTAACCCATCAGTTCTCCGGCTCTAAGGCCTTCAAACTACGCCACCAGCCTTCCTGGCTCTCCAGCTTGCAAACAGCAGATTGTGGGCCTTCTTAGCCTCCATAACTGCCTATGCCAATACTTTATAATATATCCCTCTCTCTCTCAGTAGGAGAGATCATGTGTGTGTGTGTCTGTCTATATATGTGTGTTCCTGTATTCCTCCTGTTGGTTCTGTTTCTCTGGAAAACCCGGACTAACTGACTAACTGTCCCACTGTGATGGGGAGCTCTGAGGTGGGTAGAGTCACGTTTGTTGCATGAATGCCAACACTTGCCATTCTTCCATTCATTCAGGAGCCATTTACTGAGTGCATGCTACATGACCAGCGCCATGCCAAGGCGACTAGAATTTGAGGCTGGGTCACAGGCCATGGTGACCTGAAGCACCTGATTCTGGGGTCAGCCAGACTTCATGGGCTTGCCAGTTGCCAAAGAAAACAGGTTGCAGTCAAATAGGGAAGAATAGAGCAAGGTACAGGGCCAGCTGGTGGACAGCATACCCTTTCCCCTGACTGTAAGGGGCGCAGGCCCAGAGACGGTCTTTCCCCTCTGGACTCACTCTGACTCCTCTACCCCTACCCCTGCCTGCCAGGTCCCACTTTTCTCAGTGAAATCTTTTGTTTCTGGAGGTATCATAGCACCCTACTTTCTGCCCCAAGGTGAGGCCTCACCCTCCACATTCTAAAAAAGGACATCAGCCCACACACTCACAGGAGACCCACACAAAGTAGTGAGGAGCCTGTTCCATTCCAGGCAGTGAGAGGACCCCTGAGCATAAGAGAATTTCTGGGGAAGTGCGGTTTGAGCCCCCAGAAACCCTCCAGAGAGGAGGCGTGGCAATGTTGGGTGGATGGGTCCCCAGGATGTCCCCATGTTGTTCCTGATCCATCTCTATAGGTGGGAGCAACCCTGCTCCCTGAAGGAATTTAATGGCTCAATTAAAGCCCTAGGAACAAAGGTGTTTTCACAGCAGGAACCGTCTTAACGACCAAGAAATGATTCTTAACTAGAAATTGCTCTTTCTGCTAAAGACCCAGGAACTCTCCAACCTGCTCACCCCTGTCACTCAGGTTTGGTGCAGGTAAGAACAGAGACTGTGGGAACTCTGGACA